AACAAAACAAAGTTTTATCATGGACCACATCATGACAGATGGAGAAAAGACTGAAGTTGTAAACAATTTCATTTTACTTGGATCCATAATCAGCATCCTTAGAAAAAGCAAGTAAGAATTCCCAAGGCATGCTGCATTGGGAAAATCTGCAGTCTAGGATCTTGCCAAAATGCTGAAGAGCAAGGATGTCAGCTTAAAGACCAAGGTACACCTGGTCCAAGTCATGATTTTTCCAAATACTTTCCATACATCTGAAAGTTGGGACAATGAACAAGGATGAGAGAAGATGATTCGATATCTTTGAATTGTGAAGTTAGAGAAGAGTGATGAAAAGCCCATGGACTGCCAAAAGAACAAACAAGTTTGTCTTGAAGGAAGAGCAACCAGGGTGTTCTTTAGAGGCACAGAGAGAGAAGAGTCATCTCATATACTTTGAGCATGCTGTTTACAAAGGGCCAGTCCTTAGAAAAGGATATCATGCTTTGAAAGGTGGAAGGTCAAAGAAAGAGAGAAAGACCCTCCACTATATGGACAGACATAGTGACTGTAACAACAGACTCAAGAAAACAGCAGAACAGGGATGTGAGGATAGCGCAGGATAGGGCAAGGTTCAGATGTGCTGTTCATAGGGTCGCGGAGTCACAGTCAACTCAGTACAAATATTAACAATTAAATCCACTTGAGGGTCAGCTATGAGTTGGTTGCAATTTGACAGCAAGTATTATTTTGTGTGTGTGTGTGTGTGTGTGTGTGTGTGTGTGTGTGTTCTGTCAAATCAGATCTGAATGGTACAGGATATTGTCCCTCCTTCTCCAGCAGAGCATCTGGTGGATTTGAACCACATACCTCTGGGATTGCAGTGAAGTGTCTTGCCACTAGGCCACCAGAGCTCCCAAGTCATTGGCGTTTTAAGCAAAGAAATGACATGACATGACTTGCCATGATCTTGAGTAGTGGAATATGGGCTAGAGGAGGATTCATGTAGACAGAAGCCATAATAATTGTGCTATTAACCTACATGTATATGGTGGTTCAAAGCCAGCAGCAGCTCTTTGAAAGAAAAACAGGTGATCTCCTCCCATGTGATTTACAGCCTTTGAAGCCCAATGGAGGCTTAGCTATTCTGACTTGATGGCAATTTTATGTGTGTGGTTTATTTTATTTTATTATTTTGTGGGTGTACTGTCAAATCAGATCTGACTAATACAGGAAGAGATTGCCCCTCCTTCCCCAGCAGAGCATATGGTCAATTTTATGTTTTATGGGTTGAGTTTGTTTATTTTTTTTAGTGGAGATGGAGATTAGAAGATTGATTTGAAGTTAGAAGTGACAGGACTTCCTGAAAATCTTGCAGCTTTTGAGGAATGATAAAGGAGAAGCTTTTAATAATTCCCAGAAGTCTGGTTTTACATATGTGGATGTACCACTTACACAGATTAAAGACTAGCTGTGAAAGGATGAGGAGAATTAAGTTGTTAGATTTGAGGTCACCATAAATCAGAATCAGCTTAGTAGCAATAGGTTTAGATTTTAGATGCCTTGTTGTTATGTGCTGTCAAGTTGCCTGCAACTCACCCTATGTACAACAGCTCTGTTCTCTCCTTCTCCGCTTTATCCTGAGCCAATCTTATTGTCTTTGACACATCTACTCCCATCACCCCACCTTTGAGACATGCAAATGGAGATATCAAAGTTGCCAGCAATTTGATAATAACTAGGGTTGTGAGAAAGGAGTACTTAAAGAAAAAGCCTAAATAGAGAATTTAGAATTGACTTTTTCCTTCTCCAGTGAAGCATATGGCAGACTCAAACAGTGCCTCAACATTTAGACATTAAGTAGAAAGCAAAAGTGATTAGCAAAGAAGAGGAAGTAGCTTCTTTGAGAAAAGGAGAATATTCAGGAGCCAAGATAAGTTTCAAGAAAAGAGTAACTTTGTTGAATGTTCCACAGAGGAAGAAAGATGGATACAAAGTATCCATTGGACTTCCCAATTGGTGATCTTAACAAAAATTCTTCGAATCAAGGAGTGGGAAGAAAAATCAGAGTGGACTAGGTGAGAAAAGCTGAGTTGGTACAAGCAGAAATTTGGCTATAGAGAAAAAAATGGGATGATAGTTGGAACGGGACCTTAGGAATACTAGACAAAACTTGTATGATGATAGAAATACATTTTTAAGAGGTAGAAAAATCAACATATTTGGCAACTGACTTTATCTGTGGAATGATGGAGAGAAAGAAGTCAAAGATTATATTCAGGTGGTGGCATTTCTTGAGGTCAAGAACAGAGCAGTAGGGGCAAATTTATTTGCTTCCAAAGATCATATGCTTCCACCACCACACTGTGTGGCTTCCTTTCTTGTGAAGAAAATATCCAAAAAGAGATCTGCAAAATGTGGCTGAGTTTCTTAAGATCTTATCACTTTCTGAGGTGATTAATTTCTTGAGGAGATTAGAAGCTTCTGGCGAATAACATCATGCTAATCCATGCTAAACCACTCAAGGCAACTATATACAAATGCATTTGTATTGCTTGAAAGGATTAAAACCCACTGCCATCACAAGCTGATTTCAATTCACAGTGATCCTAGAGGACAGAACAGAGCTGCCCTTGAGGATTTCCAAAACTGTAACTCTTGACAAAGGCAACTGTCTTAGTTTTCTCGTGGCTGGTGGATCAAAACACTGACTTCTTTTTAAATAACCCATTATGTAATCTGCTGTGCTACCAAGTTCTTTGAAGGAACTCAAGTCATGGAAATAAACCATTGTCCAGCTGATAGTAACTAATGATGGAATGATGTTGTCAGAGTAGAACTGCACTTCATAGGATTTTCAACAGCTAAGTTTCCAGAAGTTGACTGCCAGACCTTCACTTGACGTATTTCTGAGAAAACTTAGCAGTTATCCCATACAGTTCCTTGTAATTCTAGGAAACAACCTACTGAAGTTGAGTCAATACCAATTCACAGTTAATCTTCCACTGATTTCACCTTTTTTCCTCAAATGGAACTGCCAGAAAGGTGCAGCCTTTCGGTAACAGCACACTTCCCTCCAGACTCTGCTAACAAAGGGATAGGAACCTAAAAATCTCACCTGAAAAGGGAACAGCCACGCTTTTGGAATCAATACAATGAATACTTAAAACTGATTACTTTTAGGCAGTAGAATTGAAGCTTTCTTTTTACTCTGAACAAATTAACCACATTCAATACTGCTTACATTTTTGTAAAATATAATGGACTCAACACTGAGTCCATTAACAGAAGCGGTGTAGCAATATAATCATGCTACCTCTGATAACACAGTGAATTTCCATGAAGCATTTCAGAGAAGCAGGACCTCCCCTAAAAAATAATAGCTCAGTTCTTGTTAAAACATGAACTGCTACAACTGATACAATAGTGTCTGGAAAAGGCAGTAGCTAGAAAACAACGTTTTTATTTAATTCTGACATTCTGGTAGGTGTCTAGCAAATGATTGAGGAAATGAATCAATGGAGAATAGATGAGAATCAGAGATTTCAGGAATTTTTAGGGGATCTCTCAGAAGAAGTGCAACCAAAGTCTTTCCGTAAAAGCGAGGATGACAAGGCATCTCTCACATTGGGCATGCTATTAAGAGGGGCTAGTTCTTGAGGGGAGCTTTGGGGTCTAGTCCATGGGACTACAGCCAATAACTGACGCTCTGGTGGTTCAAGTCGACCAGCGGCTCTGCAGGATAAGGATGGCAATTTCTCTCCCTGCAATTTACAGGCCTGGAAATCCAATGGAAGGTCAGTCCTGAGTCAGTTCTGACTTGACAGCAATGAGTGAGCAAGTCCTTGAAAAAGGGTAGCATACTTGGAAAAGTAGAGGGTTCGTAGGGGGGAGGGTCCTCAACAAGATGAATTGACACAATGACCGCTACAACGGGGGGGAGGGGGAGGGGGGCTGCGTATTGAAGGAATGGCACAAGGTCCAGCAGGGTTTTCCAGCTGTTGTACACAGACAGGGTCTCTGTGAGTCGGAGTCGAGACTCGACTGTTCTAATAACAAGAGATCTCTGGTGTTCAGAAGGGGCTGGGCAAATGCAGACATATTTAACAAAATGTTCTAGTTCAACTATCAAAAAAGGGGCGGGGGGAGTTGAAATTTGGCATCTCCCTTCAGCCTGATGACAAAGCTGCTGAAAGCATCTTGGGATTCTCATCCCCAAGGCCAACAATTTGATCACCTGATCCGGGCTCAGAAGCCCTATGTCCCTTCCACTCCCAATCCTTTCCCGTGGCCTAGTTTTCAGAAGCTAGAGAGAAGAACGAGCTCGAAGGAAGCCTGTTGATTCAACAGGCCTTTAGATTTGCGGGTTGTCGGTGCCACCGGGCTGGGAAAACTCTAACCAACTACCCAGTTTTCCTCCGCCCTCCCTTTCCCCACCTCCTCGGATAGAACTGGGAAGGCCAGGGCCCCTCTTCTTGTCGCACCCGGCTTCCCAGTGCCTCTACCCTAATCGGACCAGGCCCGAGAAGCCCAGATCCTTTTCCTGACCCATGCGAGGAATACACTCTCTAGGGCGAATCTTTACTTGCCCGAATCCCGATGCTTCTCTAATGCGCTGAGCCCCTACCGAAGAAAATGGAGTCGTCGAACCGAGACTAGGTAGACAGTACGGATCCCCCGCACGGCCCCTCCGCGACACCACCGCCGCGTCAACGTGTTACATCACTTCCGGTCCCCTGTCACTGCGCTTGGGCGGGTGACCTCTTGCTGCTCTCACCAGGCTTGCGTCCGGGGAGTCGAAAACTAGCCGGAGCAGTTCATAGAGACTGCATTCACAGATATCTGAGAGCGAAGTGAAGGAAGACTCGGCAGCAACCAGTCTTAACTGGTCTCTCAGGTCGCTCTAGCCAGAGGAACCATAAAGATCAGAACTCGGGCTTCCTCATTTCCTCCAAGCAGTTGTTCCTCTGGTAGCTTCCGGTTCCGGGGAGGGGATCACGATTGGATTTTCTTCTAGGTTAAGGGCTCCGGGTCCTGCCAGGATGGCAGTGGTACCTCTGTTGCTGTTCGGGGGTTTGTGGGGCGCTGTGGGAGCATCCGATCTGACTGTAGTTACGTGCGGCTCTGTGGTAAAGCTACTCAATACACGCCACAACGTCCGGCTGCACTCACATGACGTTCGCTACGGGTCAGGTACTGCACGGGACCGTGTTCGGATAGACTAGGGAGAGAGGCCTAGTCCGCCCCAGAGCGGGAACGGCTTGGAGCACATATGAGGGGTGTGATCTGGAAGGACTTTGAGTGCCAGAAAGAGGCTCCTAAAGTCCACAGGTGTAGAGAGGCCGTCTTAAAGCATCTTCATTATATCAGTTTTCTGTCTGTAAGCCAAGTGACTAGGGAGGACAGAAGGAGAATTGACGCCTTTGAGCTGTGGTGCTGGAGAAGAATATTGAATGTACCATGGACTGCCAAGAAAAGAAACAGATTCATCCTAGAGAGGGTTAAGCCAGGCTACTCCTTGGAGGCAAAGATTCTGGGGCTTCGTCTGACATACTTTGGACTTGTAAGGAGGGACCAGTCCTTGGAGAGGGACATCATGCTTGGTAGAGTAGAGGGACAGCGCAGGAGGGGAAGACCCTCTATGAGGTGGATCGATTCAGTGGCTGGGGTAATCGGGATGGGTGTGTCGTAGACAGTGCGATTGCCACAGGACAGAGCAGGGTTTAGGGCTGTTGTACACAGGGTCGCAATGAATCGCAAACGACTGGACGGCACATAACAATAACAACAACAAGCCAAATGAACCTTTTGGATCTTTGACATTCCTGTGAGTTAGATACTGTTTTCATTTTAGAGATGAGAAAACAGACCTTAGAGAAATTGCGTCATGTACTCCCAGCCATGCAGCTTAGTGAATGACAGAGGCGGGGTTCGGTCCAAAACTGTTGACTTTTAAAGCTACTTTTTAAAGTTGTTTTTAGTTACTCTTGGGTGGCACTGGAGAGTAGCGAGAGATGTTGACAATTAAAAGTGTGCTCAAAATTGGAAAATGTTTAGAGAGCATGTAACAATATGAAATGAAAAGGTTTTTTTTTAAATTTTTTTTAAATTTTTTGAAAATTCTTAATAATAGATTATTTATGGATTTCTTTATTCAACATGGATTTAATGAACCCCAGAGAAATTCAGCTAGTGAGACTTGAGAGGCACCTAAAATGATTATTAGATTACAGCAGCCAGTGGTGTTAACTGAGAGGAAAGAAGGAATTCCTTCATTTGGGCTTAACGTGGTTCACAATCCTCAGACTTGTCTGACCAGTTAAGCTGGGAAAGTAGCTGAGCTGTCTTTGTGGGGATGTTTTTAACCCTAGTAACCATTCATTGAACACCTACTCTATGTCAGGTGTATAACTTTTTTCTAATGGATTTTATTTCTTACTTTGTATTTACTACATCAAAATAGGGTGGATAGAAGCCTGGCGATAGGACTCTGTAAGATTAAAGCTCATCAGGTGCTTTTATTGACCAGCCAGATTTGGGAACCAAGTTGTGGCTAATAGTGAGAAGAATAGGAATCCTATAACACTTGATTGTGCTTATGCAAAACCTATACTTGAACTAGGAAGCAGTCAGAACAGAGCAAGGAAACACTACATGGTTCAAAATCAGGAAACAGATCTGTCTTGGAGAGGGTAAACCAAATTTATCCATGGGGGCTAGGATTTTGAAGCTTTATCTCACATATAAGGTAAACAATAGAGAAGAATTGGGCCCATGGGATTGATCCTTGCAGAAGGACATCATGCTGGGAAAGGTGGAGACACAGCTTGGGAGTGGAAGACCCTGGATGAGATGGAGTGACACAATAACTGGGTAATGGGGGTATGTGTGTCAGAGTCAGTGAGACTGGCTTAGGATAGGGCAAGCTTAAGAGCTGTTGTACACTGGGTCTCTGTAAGTCCCAGGTGACTACATGGCACAACAGCAACACCAACAGTGCTCTTTGGAAGTTCTGGAGGCCAAATGGTAAGTTGCTGTATTGTCACCTATGGGAAGCCGGATATAAATTTAATATTAATAATAAACCAAATGCTATATCAAGATAGGAGGGAAGCTTAATACAAGCTAGAATTCACCCTGTAGCATTAGGGCAATCCTTAAGCATCTATATAGTTCTTCGGCCTTATTTACAAAAGAGATTTCTTTTTTATTTACTTTGTTTTTGTTTAATACTCTCTTGTGATTTTTCTTTGTTTACTTCCTGGTGATTCTCAATAAAACCACAGAAAGGCCTAGCACAGGGCTTGCAGTTCTCCCAGCTGTTAGCCCCCCCTTCACTCTTTCTGACCTGACCTCCATTCCTGAGTGTCTTGGTCTCTGTCTTTTCCCTCTGCCAACAACGGTCACCCTAAAAGTCCATCAGTTGCTCTATAGGAGAAAGATCTGCAATCTCCTCCTGAGTGATTTGTTATTGTTATGTACCATTGAGTTGCAACCAGCCCTTAGATACCTCTCCAGCAGGTTTTCAGTGGCAGTTAATTGCATGGGAGGAGATTGCTCATCTTTCTCCTGTGGAGCAGTTAGTGAATTTGAACTGTATGCCTTTGGAATTTCAGTGAAGCTTCTTACCACTAGGTCACTAGAGCTCTCCTGTGTGATTTAGAGCCTCTGAAAACCCACTGCAAAGTTAGTCATGAATTGATTCTGACTTGAGGGCAAATAAACCGTAGTGCTGTTTAGTCTAGGACTCTGGTGATGTAGTCCATATGGACTAGACTGCTAACCCAAAGGCTACTCTTCACTTGCAGTTCAAAACCACCAGCTATTCTGTGGGAGAAAGATGGACAGTCTCCTATGTGATTTACAGCCTTGGCAGCCCACTGGAGGATTAGTTCTAAGTTGGAACTGACTTGACAGCAATGAATGAATGTTCTTTAATGCATATTCTTGAAAATTTATGATATGTTTTTAAGTATATTTACACAATAATTAAGTAAACCAAACTCACTGCCATTGAGTTGATTTCAACTCCCTACATTAGGTTTCTGAGGCCAGAAAACTTTATTTTTTTTAAATTCACTTTAAGAAAGTTTACAAAGACTTTGGATTTTCATTCATTCATTCATTCATTCATTCTGGCACTTTGCTCCCTGCCCAACCTCCCCCACCCCCACCCAGTTTGTTCTTCTCTTTGAAAAGTAAAAGAAAAATTCTTTCATTGTTATACAATCCCTCCCCCAAGTCCACTCCACTGTGCAGTCTTTGTTCTGGATAGTTATACATCCTTTTGAACAGGTCTCTTCCTCATCTGTTTCAGTGCAGTAAATATAATTTATCCCATCTTTCTCCGTCTCCCCTAACCCCAATGTCAGTCCCGTTTTACAACAGTAACACTATGCAGTATTTGTCCTTTTATGACAGATATTTCACTCAGCATAATGTCTTCCAGGGTCACTCATTTTGTATAATATATCATGAGTTCCTTATTTTTCAATGCAGCATAGTATTCCATTGTGTGACTATACCACAGCTTCTCTATCCATTCGTTTATTGATGGACACTTAGATTGTTTCTTTCTCTTTGCTATTGTGAACAAAATCGCAATAAACATGGGTGTGCATTTATCTGCTTGGGTGGTGGTTATGGTTTCTTTGGTGTATATTCCCAGTAGTGGAATTGTTGGGTCAAATGATACCTCTATTTGCAACTTTAAAAAAAAAATTTATTCTTTTTGTGTGTGTGTACCGTCAAAGTGGATCTGACTGGTACAGGAGGAGATTGCCCCTCATTCTCCAGCAGAGCATCTGGTGACTTTGAGCCATATGCCTCTGAGATTGCAGTGCAGCTTCTTGCCACTAGGCCACCAGAGCTCCCTTTATTTGCAACTTTTTGCGAAGGCACCATACTGCCTTCCATAGTGGTTGCACCATTTTACACTCCCATCAACAGTGAATAAGGGTTCCAGTTTCTCCACAACCTCGCCAGTATTTGTTGTTTGCTGTCTGTTAAATTTTGCTGTTTTTACTGGGGTGAGATGATATCTCATAGTTGTTTTGAGCCTAAAAAGCTTTATGGGAGGAATCACTTATCTTTTTCCTGCAGAGCAGTGGTGGATTTGAACTGCTGATCTTGTGGTTGACACTCTGTAAAAACTGAGATAAATAAGAGGGCAACTGCATCCCTACTAAATCCCCAAGTGGAAGAGTCCCCATTCATAACATCCACAGCTCAAAACTGATTTCTGTGAGGTCAAACATGCTCTTGCACCTACTTCTGTCAATTATGACACATCATCCTTCCAAGAACTCTTGCTGTCCTACTACAGGGACTAATAATCCTTTCCAGTGGCCATACAGGACTCACAGACAATACTCAATTACAGGGATTATTAAGGGGAATACAAATTGATATTCAGGTTGGAAACAGGATATGATTTTTCAGTCAGGACAGCTCAGATGTGCTCACAGGCCTTCTGATCTTCAGCCTTGTGTCTTTGGGTCAGTGTTACACAGCTCTTTTAATCCTGCCCATTATGGCATCTCCCACTCTGAGCAAAGGCCCTAGGCTCTGGCTCTGGGATGACCATCCTAGTTAGCTCTGTCTCATGTTGATTTCTGCTGCTGTTCCAACTCTACTGGTGTAGCTCTTAGTCCATTTGACACAAGATTTCTGTTCAAAAGGATGAGCTGCTACACTCTCCACTTCTTTTTTCTTTTTTTTCCCCCTTGTAAGTTTCATTTTATTAAATGTGACTGAAGCAGACACATGTGGTGATTAAAGAATTTAGCCAAGATGGCTTAGACAGACTTCTGGCTCACCAAGGTCTCCAACACAACAGCTGGGTACCAAAGGACTATCTTGAAGGAGTGGTACAAATGAAAGAACTTAAGTGGGTATTTTGGTACAACTTATAGAAAAGGTAAAATAAACAAGACATGCAGGTGGCCTGGTAGTGACCACGGTGTCACCCCTGTGGCTGTGGGGAAGCTGGGCTAAAGCTTCGCTCAGCTGTCGCTGTCACTGTCTCCCAGGGTGTGCTTGTCAAAGAGGTACTCGGCCCGAATCTGGAGCGCCTGTCTTGCTCAAGTTGGTTAGTAGTCACCCAGTTGTTTGATGGATTTCACCTGCTCATCCAGGTAATGTGTCTCAATGAAGTCACACAAATGAGGGTCGTTCTTGTCAGTGGCCAATTTGTGCAGTTCCGGTAGGGACTGATTCACACTTTTCTCCAAGTGTAGCGCACACTCCATTGTGTTCAGCCCGCTCTCCCAGTCATCCCGGTCTGGTTTCTTGATGTCCTGAAGGAAGATGCGGCTGCTTCGTTGGTTCTGCAGTTTTCATCAGTTTCTCAGCATGCTCCCCCTCCTCGTGGGATTGGTGGAGAAAATATTTGGCAAAATTCTTCAAAGCCACATCATGATGGTCGAAGTACTAAGACATGGACAGGTAGACATAGGAGGCGTAGAGCTCCAGGTTGATCTGGCGGTTGATGGCGGCCTCCGAGTCCTGGTTGTAGTTCTGGCGCACCTGCGGAGGGGACGCGGTCATGGCGGCGTCTGCGCAGCGCGGAGGCGAGGACCTTGGGGCATCCGGGGGTGCTGATGTGAGGAGGTGGCGGAGGACTGGCGGGAGAGTGCCGGCTTCTGTTCAAGCACTGTTGAAGCAGGAGACCACAAGCGACTCTGCGAAGACCGTCTCACTTCTTTTTTCTTGATGGTAGTGCTGTTCCCATTTTCTGCCTCTGAACCTGCTCTGTTTAAGCTTGCTGGGATGGCAAAACTGACCAATCTTGTTAGTAGCCTATACACCTTATTTGTATCAGTCTCCTGAAACCAAGTTTCTCCTTAGAGGCTAAGATTTTGAAGTTCCATCTCACAAAATTTGAGTATGTGACCGGGAAGGACCTATCCTTGTAGAAGGACATCATGCTTGGAAGGGTGGAGGGACAGCACAGGAGAAGACCCCAGATGAAATGAATTGATACAGTATTTGGGGCTGTAGGGGTTGGTGTGTTGGTCAGTGACAATAGACTCAGGACAGGGCAGGCTTCAGAACTGTTGTACAAAGGGTCGCAGGTGACTTGATGGCATATAACAATAACTGCCCCACACAGTTCAATGCATAATGTGCTATGCTATCAAAGCTCCACATACATTAGTTAGTTTTGTATAAATACATTATTTGTTGTTATATGCCGTTGAGTCGCTTGTGACTCATAGCAACCCTGTGTACAACAGCCCTAAACTCGGCTCTGTCCTGTGCCAGTCTCACTGTCTTCGATATATGCATTCCAATTACTCCAGTCACTAAATCAATCCACCTCATAGAGAGCCTTCCTCTCCTGCACGGTCCCTCCTTACAACATGAGCATGGTATGTCAGACGAAGTATTTTTTACATATATTTAATATGTAAATATTAACTAAATATGTAAATAGTCTTTTTTACATATATTTAATGTTTTGGAAGAAAACATCTCGCATAGATAGGGTTTTCTTCCTCCTCTGCTGTACCTGTTTATGCTGCAGAAGACAGTATTATCCGTAGAAAAAAAAGAATCCAGTTGAACTCACTGTCCTTTCTGTTTCTGACTACAGGTAGTGGGCAGCAGTCAGTGACAGGTGTAACCTCTGTGGATGACAGCAACAGTTACTGGAGGATACGGGGGAAGACTGCTACAGTATGCGAGAGGGGAACTCCTGTCAAATGTGGCCAACCTATCCGGCTGACACATGTCAACACTGGAAGAAACTTGCACAGCCACCATTTCACCTCCCCTCTGTCTGGTAACCAGGTGAAGTGGCATTGCTGCTCTCCGTGACTCATTTGGGTGGTTGTTTGACTTCCGGTTATCTGACCTCCTGATTCTTAGCCCTTTCGTTTTCAGGCGTAGGTGTTCTCTTTTCTGCAGACTAGAGAACTAGCTGTGTCTATTAAGTAAAAAGATAATTATTTCTGGCCAAAATGGAGACTTTATATCTAGTCCAATTCAAGAAATGGGGAGGAAAGACAGTAATTATACCTAAGCATATAATACATTCTGATAAAGCCTGCAGAAGAGAAACTGAGTGTTTTCCAAGTATATTATAAGTTATTTATTTTTAATAAGCCTGACTAACCATCTTTTCCTCCCACCCCCCACTAACCATCTTAAAGAACTAATCTATAGGCTGTCCTTTGGGAAACTCTGTATTAGAAAAATAAACTAGGCATTGTGTCTTTTTTTTTTTAACCTTAAGCTTCCAGAGGATGTGGACCCCTCAATGAACTGCTTAAAGACTTCCCCCATCATCACTTCTATCTGTGTGGTTTCCCTTTTATGAGCATTTTACACTGCCATGGTACATTTATTGCAATTAATGACCCATTATTAAGTTATTATCACCTAAGATCAACTTTGACTATGAGTCGCAGGTGACTCGACGGCACATAACAACAACAACAACAAGATCAACTTGTTAATTTCTGTTTTTCTTAAAGTTGGTTTTAATTCAGTCACTCATATGTTTCATTTTATAACAATAATTACAGTTATATATTGTCATTAATTACAATGTCCTGTTGAAACCTCCCTGTACTCTTTTTCCCCTTCAACTTACCTACCGGTTTGCTAATCTATGCTCCCTCCTCCTCCACTCCCATCCCTGCCTAATAGTAATAGTTTCTATCTGTGGGCAAACTTTCCTGTATTCTATTTTTTATTTCACTCTCTCCTCTTTCCCTTCCCTGTTTGGTCAGTTAGGCATGTTTTGTTTCAAATTGTTAATTGCAGTGCACATAATGTCCAACCAGCCATTCATTTAAGGTTGATTTTCCTTTCCCTAATCCATTACAAGGGCGCTCTCTGGTGTCTCAGTGTTAAGGAGTTGTCCTGTCAACCCAGAAGTACCTGGTTTGAATCCACCAATTGCTCCAGAAAAGAAAGATGAGCCGTTTATAAGCTTTTAAGACTTCAAATTGCTGTTTACCAAATATGGTCTTTGGAGCTAGGTTATGTCAGTTGACCTAGATGTCCTCTGAGAGTATGGTCCCCATCTTTACAGGTTTTTGATGTTTTTAAGCAACACTGGACAGCCTCTCATTTTTCACTTTTGGAGAAGCCTTGTTTTTCTTCATATTGCCCTTTCCTCCTTTGCAGGCTTGTGTGTCAGCTCATGCTAATACTGTCATTGTCTGTCTTCCAGGAAGTCAGTGCATTTGGAGAAGAAGGTGAGGGTGATTATCTGGATGACTGGACAGTGCTGTGTAATGGACCCTACTGGGTAAGGGATGGTGAGGTGCGGTTCAAACACTCTTCAACTGACGTGCTGCTGTCTGTTACTGGGGAACAATATGGTCGACCCATCAGTGGACAAAAAGAGGTGCATGGTATGGCCCAGCCAAGCCAGAACAACTACTGGAAAACCATGGAAGGCATCTTCATGAAACCAAGTGAGTTGCTAAAGACAGAAGTACACCATGCAGAGCTATGAGTCTGAAGGCACTGATCACTCCCACCACCCAGTGTTCAGAGACATCTCCTGCTGTTTGATCCTGAGATCCCTGCCATAGGTTCCCTGGGCAGTGGGCACATCACCACTGAGATGAAGATGCATGTCAGATAATGGCCTGTGTTTGGAAGCTTCAGCCCTTCATACTTAAATTGGTTGCTCTATCAGACTTGGGTCACTTCTTTGAATACTATACTTGCTGGTGAAGGAGTAGATGTTTTTAATTGTACTGACGAAACAAACTGAGGGGAACATCCCTCCTGAGAAATTTTTCACTCCCCAAGAGTTGGGCATGATGGATTATTAATATGTGTGACGTTCTTCCTATTTCTCCAAAATAATTAAAAAATAAATTTCATTGTCGCTTATTGTCATATTATTTAGCAGGCATGCTTTTCATGATCAAGGAGCTGTTGGGCAATGGTTAATTACTGGGCTACTAATGGAAAGGCTGGTGATTGAATCCATCTAGTGGCTCCATAGAAAAAGGCCTGGTACTCCTGTGAGGATGGCAGCTTTGAGAACCGTATAGGACAGTTCTGTCACAAGGATTGGTATAAATCGAAATCAGCTTACATTTTGAGCTCCCAGCCAGAAGGTAGGTAGGTGGTTCAAATCTCCGACGTGCTCCAGGGAGAAAGAAAGGTTGCTGATACTAAAACTGGCTCAGAAACTTGATGGAGGTCACTGTGATTTGGAATTGACCCTACAGCAGAGGGGTGGGGCTTTTTTGTGGGGTTTTTTTTTTGGTTTTTTTTTTTTTTTTTAAAAAAACAAACCTAACCTTTTATGATCTGCATTATTCTCAAGTTCTTTTTTCCTTCTTTTTTTTTAAAAATTTTATTATTTTGTGTGTGTGTGTGTACCATCAAATCAGATCTGACTGGTACAGGAGGAGGTTGTTCCTCCTTCTCCAGCAGAGCATCTGATGGATTTGAACCGTGCACCTCTGGGATTGCAGTACACCTTCTTGCCACTAGGCCACCAGAGCTCGCCCCTTTTTTTTTCTTAATTGAAATTTTAATGAAAGTTACAGAAAACTTGGATTTCCATTCATTCATTGTTGCACATTATCCTTCCTACCCCCTCCAGTTAGGTTTTTTTCTTTAAAAAGATTCTTTCATTGTTGCAGTTTCCTCCCCCCACCCGCAGTCCACTTTTTTATGCCCCTCTTATTCTGGACTGTTGTCATGCAAATAATACCTTATCATATATTCCTTTTAAAGAGTGGCATTATGCAGTATTTGTCCTTTTGTGGCTATTTCACTCAGCATAATGTCCTTCAGCGTTACCCATTTTGTATAATATTTTGAGTTTTTTTCCGTGCTGCATACTATTCCAGTGTGTGAATATACCACAGCTTCTCTATCCATTTGTTGATGGGCACTTGAGTTGTTTCCACCTCATTGCTATTGTGAACAATGCAGCAATAAACATAATTGTGCATAACCTCAGTTCTAAGATTTTTATCATCAAAATGCTGGGAAACTTTTAGATGCATCCAAATTTTCATGTTTTACTCTTGTCCCAGGCATTTTATCTTTACTAGAGTTTTTACTATGTATGTTGTGTGTCACTGAATTGGAACTGAACTATTGCTGACCCTCCAGTGGTTCTTCAGGGGTAGTAAATTATGAGAGCTTGCCCATCATTCTCCCATAGAGTAGATGGTGGTTTTGAACTGTGTGTCTTTGGCATTGCAGCACAGCTTCATAAATAGCCAATGAACTGTTAAACTATCCTGTTACAGAGATGAAAGAAAGCAGTAGGAGTAGTAAAAAGGAACTTCTTTTATTCACTTCTAATTACTAGGCACCATGTTGTAGATCTTACTTCATCTAATCTTCACAGAAATATTGGGTAGATATTATAGGTCAAAATAATTTGCTATTGGAGAGCAAAGCCAGTATTCTTTGTTTCTGTGGGTATATCCTCCCCCTGTGCCCCGTTTTTGATAAACATGTTAATTGCTGTGGAGTCAATTCCAAATCATGGTGACAGTTGTGAGCAAAATATAACATATAGCTCCATAGGGATTTTCAGTGAGCTAGACCCTGAATTCTTTTTTAAAAAAACATATCTTTTACAAGAAGGTGCACTGCAGTCCCAGAGGCACATGGTTCAAATCCACCAGATGCTCTGCTGGAGAAGGAGGGGCAATCTCCTGTACTAGTCAGATCCAATTTGATGGTACACACACACACACAAAATTTTAAAAAAACCAACAAAAAACAACAAACCAACCCAAACATATCTTTTATTTGAATTCTTAAAACTAGTAAATTCTGAAAATTAGGGGATATGAGGGAGCTCTGGTGGCCTAGTGGCAAGAAGCTGCAATGTAATACCAAAGACACGTGGTTCGAATCCACCAAATGTTCTGCTGGAGAAGGAGGGGCAATCTCGTGCCAGTCGTATCGTATTCAATGGTACACAACAACAACAAAAACAAAAAGGGAATAGAAACTTAGTTGTGTCCGACTCATTGTTTTTATTATACTACAGTTGTATTTAACTCTTGGACACCATTCCTCTGTTTTGGCAATCTTAAGGTTATTTTTTTCTGAAAAGATAGTAGAAACCTTTAGTCCTTTGCCTACCTCGTCTTCCTGGGCGTCTACCCAAAAGTTTGCTTGCTAGAGTAATAGAGGTGACTGCCATCTTCTGGAATTTTTATGAATAGCAAGGCTTCTTGTATTTGTGTTCTATTTGAATTAGCATTGAACATTTGAGGCCACCAACTCTGTTTAAGACATGGCATGGTCCATAACACTAAAAGACATAGAGACTTTTGGTCTCAGTAAATTGAGGCCATTAAGTAGCTGAATACCATCCTTGCTCTGTGTTTACCGCAGTTCAGTTGCACTGATCCTTGAGAGCTCTCCAGAAAGTAGGCAAATAGTAAAATCAACACTTTAGGCTGTGAGGTAGTTGGAAGGAGGTGTGTTTAACAGTCTGAGAAGATGGGAGGAATAGAAATCAACTTTATTGGATAAGGTGAGTAACTAAATAGGGGAATGTGTTGTAAGGGACTTTTGATTTGGACAGTTTTCACTCAGTTGTGTGGATTCACCATACACACTTGATGACAAGCTGCAAATGACAAACACAGTGCTTGAGAGACTAGTATGATCTTAAACAGTTGGTGGACCCCCTTGAGGGGGCATGTGAAATGACTGGTAAGAAGACTTATTTTTTAAATTTTATAAGTTATTAGATGGAGGGCTGGTGAAAGGGAGATAGATGTGAAGGGAGGGGGTAGAAGTGAATGGGTATCCTGCTGAATGGTGAAGCAGGAAATAAGTGGGTAAAGACGCATGTGAGAAAGGCAGGGACAACACTGACACTAAA